TTGTTAGTTGATATTACCGTTACAATTATTTTCATAAAAATTACTATAAATATCTGTACCAATCATTCAGTCTGTAGCAACATCACCTTTACTGTTTGTACTTCTGTGTTGATATTGTGTAGGCTGATCCCTCCTACCCCTCCATCTCACAGTTTCAAAGTGCTGATGTCATAGGCCAATGCAAGAGGGACTGGACTTATTTCACTAAAAGCTGTTTTTAGTTTCTGCGGCTTAAAGCTCCCAGGACAAAAATAGTTTGTACATATAATAATGATCAGTCTTTTTGATAATGTTACTTAAACCCCACACTTATACAGAGTAAACTAAAGGATTATTTTATTATCTGGATCAGTTTATCCAGTGTGTCAGTTAAAGGGGCTCCTGGAAGAGCTGTCAAGCATCAAAGTCTGTGGAAAGTCAGAGTTGCTGCAGTAATTGAAGAAGCCACAGATAGCCACCACAGTTGGTCTCGAATGTGCGATCTTTGACCTCAGAGAGGTCAGACTGGGACCTCCTACGATGTCTGTGTTGAATGTTTCTGTATGTTTGCATGGTGTGTGTGCTGCTCCCATGAAAGAACAGTTGGTTTGAAGGGCAGCCACCACAGGCCAGGTCACACAACAAGACAGGCGCCATCAATTACATGGCACCATGGACACACATGACAAATAAACACCTTCTTAATATATCCGTGTGTGTGTGTACATGCAGGGTGATCCTCAGGGAGAGTGGTTTGGCTCGGTACCTACACTCCGCAGTGCTGCTGAGCGGCACAGTGCTGGTTTTTGGGGGAAACACTCACAATGACACGTCGCTAAGCAATGGAGCCAAGTGCTTTTCTGCTGACTTCATGGCGTACGATATAGGTAAGAACAAGTCTTAAATAATCACCCACATACACACCTTCTGGTACTATATTTTGCAGCAGATGCAACATATATATATATATATATATATATATATATATATATATATATATATATATATATATATATATATATATATATATATATATCTGATCATATTGTCTATCTCAGGGCTGCAAACATTTCACTTAGTTTACCCTGCCGGCAAGTGCATAGCCAGGGTGGTATCAATGCAAGCTGGTTTCAAAGGGCCTGTCCCTACATTAGTTTTGATTCATTACTCGTTCTAAAAAATCTGCTGTCTTTTTTGCATTTTTACCTATTTCCAGATTTGAAGCAGCCAGTTCTTCTTTCATTGCAGGCTTTATTATAAACAAGTGATGAGAGCCACATGCCTCCTTTGATACACTTCCTTATAGTCAACCATGAGGAGGCTTGTTGACTGGGAATGAGTCGTGCTTCACACGATCCCACAAGATCTACTCTTTCTCCGGGTGTCCCAGCTCATCATATGAGTCCAATCCACCTAGTTGGCCCCCATTGTTGTTGACATCTCAATCAAATTTCTCAATGAATAAAGTTTTCAAAGCTTGGAGTAGAGTGAAATCCTAAGACCCGACTTCCTCACAGATAAATCACATTATATTTAATACATGATTCGGTCTTGGTTTCTATATTCCCAATTATTGCATTATCCAATATACATGTACCATATTTACCACACTACATTACTACAGATTTTCTGGTGTGAATCGTAATTGTGCTGCAGCAGAATTTGATGAAATGCCCATAATGGTGCATACTGTATGAAGAGAGGGAAAGAGGATGAGACAGTAATAGACAACAAATAATAATCTTAAAAACAGAAGAGTCTGTGAGGGAGAAAACAGGAGTATGTTAGGATACAGAGACTCCGGTACATGTAGAGAGAATGGGAAGATTAAGGATCCCATTACAGTCTACGCAGTCGCACCATAGACCAGATGTCATGAGATTGTTTCCACCACTCAACAGGGATGGAAAAGAAGGGAGCTTTGGGAGAGGAAAAGAGGGATTACATCAACTCTTCACAGGAGAGAAACGGCAGGAAGCAGCGAGATTAACAGAATGAAGACAGAAGGGGGGGGGTGAAAGATAGATGTATATGCATAGAGAAAGGGTTTTATGGTGGAGAGTGAAAAAATTTAAAAGGATGGCTGATTTGTTTTTATGTTTTTTACGGGAGGACAAGGAGGTAGCAGAAGCATGCTGGTGGCTCAGCGGGGCAAAGCTGCTGCCATGTCCTTGTAACGGTGTGGTGAAGTTGCAAAATTAATTATATCCTCTACCTGGATGTTGAGGAGGCAGAGATGCTAATGGTTAGAAAGGGTGTGCTTTAATGCTTTATTAGTTGATTAAGTCATTCGTTGAATGACACAGAAATCATCATTTTGATTTTCATTTATCATGCAGAAATGTCAAATATTCCCTGCTTTCTGCTTCTCTATGTTTTACAGCTTTTACTGTTGAATACATACATTTTAGTCTTTTAGTCACACTTCACTGTCCTGTCAGTTCCTAATAATCGAGCCGTGATCTGGGACCTGAGTTTTGCTGGATCCAAATTATAACTCCTGATTCTGGTTCTTGATGTATCTGCCACAGGTCTCTGATCTGTATTAATACCCAAGGGGATCCAAGTGGACACTCTATCCACTCTGATCATGTGGCGTGTCATAATAATCACAGGAGAAAAATGTGTTTTTGTGGTCTCTGTTGTGGTCTTTTGTGGTCTAATTATTTTAAATTCTCTTTTGGAAAGAGTCTGACTGTCCTTTATGATTGGGTCTACTTTTTGGAAATTACATTTGGGTAGGTGTCCTAAGGGTCTGTTTTGGATTGGGTCCAAGATTTTGTTCCTGTGAAGACCTCCGACTCGGACAAAACCAGCATTATGTCACTTTAGGCTCTTGTGATGGACAGTTCCACAGTTTTCCATCATTTCTGTCAACCAAGCACCCAGATGGTTTGCACAGCCCTCTGCAGTTTGCTACTGTGCAGCTTAATGAGGGTCTTGCTCAAGGGTGCCTCAAGAGCAGTTGGTTGATGAAAGAGCAAACAGTATTTGCTTCTCCCATCAATACTTTCACAGTTTGTCCTTGAATTTGAAACTTTGACCTTTTCTGTCACAATTCTGTTTCTCCTCATAATAAACTTTTGTTCTTATCAGTCACTAGTATTATTAAAGTATGAGTAGTAGTAGTTTATAGTGTATGCACAATATTTTCCACAATTAATAATACAATTGATGATCACGAGTTTGACATCTTAACTCAAGTTCCACAAACTAGCTTTTTCCTGGGCGCACAGTCATGACCAAAATACTGGCAATTTTATGTTAAGTGAACAAACTCCATCTGCTGAATTAGACTTTTAGGTGTGGCTAAAAGCTACAGAAAGAAGAATCTCCTCCTTGAGTTAAGTCTTTATCAAAAAGTGAAACTTTTTTTTAACATAATCAAGATTTTGTATTTGTGTCATTATCAGATAACCCATTGTGTTTTTTAACCTGTTCCGACCTGCAGCCTGGTGTACAGTATGAGGAGCTAACAACAGGAGACAACCAGCCAAACTACACCAATAAACAGCAGACTTAACAAAACTGAGGACAAATAAAAAGGAGAAATGGTCAAGCAAAATAAACACAGCGCAGCAATGAAAAGGGAAATAACAACTATTAATTTAAATAAATATAAATAACTTACTGTATGTATTGCATATAACCCACTGTTGATCCAAATTCATCTGCCGTACCTTCCTTTCTTTCAGATCTCTCCCAGGCGTGGAATTTCATTATTTTAGGGGCAAGGTCACTTGGCCTTGAATGTTTTCAATTTTTTGAGGGCACAAACGCCAAATGCCAGAGCAGCAAGGCCATCAACAAAAACATTTTAGGACTAGATTCTGGGCCAGTGTGACTAGATTTTAAATCCACAGAAAGTATGAATTACACTTACACTTTTGTTAATGCTTTGTTACTAACTTGAAAGTTTTCTCTAGCACGTCAGACTTTCTTTTAATGTCGCACCCCATCTAGGCTGTGATTGGTCCATTCACGAAAAGTGACATTGACGAGTATATCAACTAAAGACAGCTGAGCTAGCCAGCCAGCCAAAACCCAAACGCTGCTTATCTTATCCCTATTGTCTTCTGGCTTCAGCTGCAGAACCTTGACAGTTCAACTAGTACTGTGGATCTTGAGGAGGAAGATGTGGGCTGGTGCATAATCAAAGTGGGCTGATGGCTGAAGCATCTCTCCTGCTCTTGTTTTTGCACAATGGGTTTCTCAAGCTGCCCATAGAGCTTTCTTACCTCAGCTTAGTCAACCTTCTTTTCTCAGAGGTTCACTCAGTCACGGCTTTGTGGCATTGGCACGTCAGGATGAGTTTGATAAAGTCTCCTGATTGGCTGGTGTGTCAAGCAATCGTCATAAATAGCCCGGTTTTCCAGCAGTTTACACCAGGCTCTAAATCGAACCTACCACTGCGTATGTGCGCAGTGTTTCACTTGATGTTGCCCAGTAGGAATTCAGAATATCAACAAGACACTGGTGTCTAAAAACCATGCTGACAGGAAAGAGGCTGAGCGGGGGCATCAAGGCCACTGTGACCGCAGGGCATGTCATTTTTTTGAGGAGCGTAAGGCCAAAGTAGGGCCATGGCTGTCATGGCCCTTCTGAAATCCCTGTCCTGCTCTCTGCTGTAAATGACACAACAAAGGGAAAATACCAGGGAGGATATTAGTGAGATAAAGCAGTGAATGTGAGGAAAGAGATGAAAAAAGAAGGGCAGTCCGAGAGTGCAGACCTTCGCCAAGGCCACTAGTCTTCTATGATATGTAAATATGCAAGCGCAATATATTTCTACAACTATTAGATGAACATTATGGTTGTGTCTAGCTGAATGTCATCATCTCAGCTGTGCAGTTATTAGTGTTGGAGGTCTTAAGATCACTTTTTGATGATCTTGGTCTCGTCTGGGACTCGACCACATTTGTACTCTGTCTTGTCTCGGTCTCGGATATTGAGGACTTGGGATTTTATTTCAAGACCAGTCAAGACCATAGCTTTGGGAATATCAGTAAATTGCTTTTGCATTATCTGATTTATTTGTTAACACCCTAACTATGATTGGGTGTAAAACGTCGCCTCAAATGCAACCAATAACCCTAATTAAAAATGTGTTGTTACCGCTAACGACCCCTCCCTGCAATGGTAAGCATGGAAAAGGAGTGTTGAATAAAGATGCTTACGTTAATTTCAGCTCATACTGTTTGAATGTGGGTGTTTTAATGGGAATGCTGATCTTTTTAGATCAATTTGTGAAGTACCTGTGATCTCATTCCACATTTTATTGTGTGTCATGTAATGTGGGAAACTGGTCTTGGTCTCGACTTGGTCTCTGCCCCTGAAAGTCTTGGTGTTGTCTTGTTCTCAATAAACTCTGGTCTTGGTCTTGACTTGGTCTCGGTTTGGGCGGTCTTGACTACAACACTAGCATTTATTATGTACTTTGTCAGAAAATCCAAAACGCCATGTGTACAGTTCCGCCAAGTTTCATGAAAATCTGGTCAGTACGTTTTTCGTAATCCTGCTCAAGTAATAAGAGAGAAGAGCACTGAGGAAGGGGAGAGGGATATAGACAGAACGGGAGTGAAATAAAGAGTAAATGAAGAAGGGATTTAGGGATAGAAAAGCAGCACTGACAATGGTGGAAGAGAATTACCTTAAGACAATAAAAGTATGCCAGGATGAAGCAGATAATAATCTTGTGAATAAAATCAAAGGTAATAAACTATAAAGCATTTGTTTACAGAGTGTAAACAACGTAGTGTTGAATGCTGTGCTTCTTTTCGCCCCATCAACACTTGCAATAAATGTGTGAATTTACATGTCCCTTAACTCCTAACAAACACACCCCTGTCTTTATAAATATCATAATTTATTCATTACAGCTCGTATC